AACATTTTTTGGAGAAGTCACCTCCCAATAAATGTCATTTTGGAAAATCTAACTGCTCAATTTTACTCAGTACTTTTACTTTTAATACTTAAGTAGATTTTGTGTCAAATGTACTTTGGATACTTCAATACAAAAAATATCAGATACTTTATGACTTTTACTCAAGTAATACTTTTAAAGAAGACTAACTTTTACCAAAGTATTTTTATGATAAGATACTTGTACTTTTACTCAAGTATCACTTTTAGGTACTTTATACAACACTGCTATTATTTTATTGTTTATTGTTAGTTTACTGTTAGTTTAACTTGATCTTGTCATGGTTTCAGGCTCAGGTTAGAAATGTTCGAAAACCTTCAGCGCAAATGAAACCCAACGACGACCAGGTGGTGGCAGAAGTCGAGATCAACGACGTCCCTTTAAACTTTCGAAACCTCCTGACCCGCGGGCCGACACAGGAGGAGGTCAGCAGCGACACCACTCACAGTTTACACAACAGAGTTCATCGTTTTGTTTTCCTTTGTAAAAGTGTCGTGGTTTATCCGCAGATCAGTAAAGTGAGCGGAACTGCGGTTACAACTAAAGGACGTTACATGACAGCAGAGGAGAAGAGCAAAGCTCTGCCAGGGTGACTTTTCTTCTCACAGTTTTAGCAGCTGAACATAAAACACATAAACACTGTTAATACGACCTGGTTTCTGCTCCCACAGGGAGCGACCTCTCTACCTGCACATCCAAGGACAGACCAGAGAGCTCGTCGACAGTCAGTGCTGTTATGTTTCATTTTGTTGTGTAAATATCTGCCACACACGCCGTTATTTGACCAACGATCTCTTTCCTTCCTTCTCCAGAAGCAGTAAATAAAATCAAAGAGGTTATCGCCAATGGTGTTGTGAAGGCAGCAACTGCTTCATCCTCCTCCTCCTCCTCCTCTACATCCTCCTCCTCTACATCATCCTACTCTACATCCTCCTTGTCGTTCTCCACAAATGGGGCCACGATCTGCCATCCTCCAGCTTCGCTTCCCCCCATTACCAACAACAAACCTCACTTTCAGTCAGGGGTGAGCTGCTTTAGCTGTTATTTCAAACTCCTGTTCCTGTCAACAAATCTAAATGTGGTTATTGTTGTGAATGATGGTGCTGTCATAAAGTTTATATTTTATTCAAAAGCGTTGCAACCAAGAGCTCAGAAACCAGGTGACTGTGTGATCGTCTGGTGAAGCTAACGGCTAACGCTAAACGGGCAAGAGTCAGGATTTCTCATTACTGTACATGTTGACAACAGAGCAGAAAAAAAGGACTGATGATGTAGAAATCATTAAAACTATTAATAATAATACTAACCCAATTATTATTAATATTTTACAGTTTATGTAATCTATCTAATGTTTTAAATAATGTCAGAAAAGCTGTTTGTGTTATGG